AAAAAAAAAAAAAAAAATTAGTGGTGAGTGGTTGCACAAGTGTGTGGTCCCAACTATTTGGAAGGCTAAGGTTGGAGGACCAATTGAGCCCGAGTCAAGGCTGCAGGGAGCCATGATTGCACCACTGCATTCCAGCCTGGGCGACAGAGCAAGAGCCTTTCTTTCTTTTTTTGAGATGAAGTTTTGCTTTTGTTGCCCAATCTGGAGTACAATGGTGCCATCTCGGCTCACTGCAACCTTCACCTCCTGGGCTCAAGCGATTCTCCTGCCTCAGCCTCCTGAGTAGCTGGGATTACAGGCAGGTGCCACCAAGCCCAGCTAATTTTTTGTATTTTTAATAGAGACGGGGTTTCACTGTGTTAGCCAGGATGGTCACGATCACCCGACCTCCGGTGATCCACCCGCCTAGGACTCCCAAAGTTCTGGAATTACAGGCGTGAGTCAGCGCACCTGTAGAGTAAAACGCTTTCTCAAAACAAACAAAACAGCCAGGGGTGGTGGCTCACGCCTCTAATCCCAGCACTTTTGGAGGCTGAGGCAGACAGATCATTGAAAGCAGGAGTTCCAGACCAGCCTGGCCAACATGGCGAAACCCTGTCTCTACTAAAAATACAAAAAATTAGCCAAATATGGTAGCAAGCTCCTGTAGTCCCAGCTACTCAGGAGGCTGAGGCAGGAGAATCAGTTGAACCCAGGAAGCGGAGATTGTGGCTCATGCCTATGTCCAGGCCCTTAGGAGGCCAAGGCAGGTGATCACTTGAGTCCAGAAGTTCAAGACCAGCCTGGGCAACATAGTGAAACCATATCTCTACAAAAACGTTTTAAAAATTAGCCGGGCGTGGTGATGCACACCTGTAGTTCCAGCTACTCAGGAGGCTGGGGTGGGAGGATCTCTTGAGCCCAGAAGTTTAAGGTTACAGTGAGCTATGATCAAGCCGCTGCACTCCAGCCTGTGTGACAGAGCAAGACTGTCACAAAAGTCAGCAGCCAACGCTAGGCTTTTGATTTACTGAACATTATATGAGTTTTTTTAAATAATGTTTTTCGAGACAAAGTTTTTTGGCTCACTTTATCCTCTGCCTCCCAAGCTCAATCCATCCTCCTGCCTCAGCCTCTCCAGTAACTAGGACTGCAAGCATGTGCCACCACACTCTGCTAATGGTTTCTATTGTTTTGCAGATGGGCTCTGACTATGTTGCCTAGGCTGGTCTCAGCTTCCTGGGCTCAAGCAATCCCCCTGCCTTGGCCTTCCAAAGCGTTGAGATTACAGGGATGAGCCACCACTCCCAGCTACAAATATTTTTACTTTACAAATAATAAAACTACGAACAGACTTATGCCCTCAACACATTTCCACATTATTATATAATACCCATTTAACAGATCAGGAGAAGCTCAGCAAAAGTATGTGTTGAGCCGAAAGTCACAGTTTCAAGCCAGCCTGAATAAATACAGCTCAACAGAAAGGTACCACACAATTTTCTGCAGTTTTATTTCTTCCTCCTATTTCTCACACTAAACTTGCCCAGGTAAAGTAAATAAGGCCACTATGGAAGTCCATGATTCCATTTAAATAAAAGTCAATTTCTCAGGCAATCCAAAAAACTGTTTTATGTAAATTTCCCCTAAATTTCTTGGCTCAATCATTATTGTCCTTATATCTCATATAAAACTACAAAAGTCCAAGCAGCTATATCCTGGTTTTCTCTTTGTCATAAGTTTCCAGAGGACTGCACTTACCAGTTAGTTAGGAGGCTGTTTTCCAGCTTCTCTTCCTTCCTCCCGGTCTGTCTGTAGCTCTCCTCCAAAGATCTTTGTAGATAAAGACAACTTTCTCCCAGAATTCCATTCTTTATCTCTTTGCCACACCCTTACATAAGAATAATGAGAAGCACGTTTGAACATTACATTTCTCCAGTAGGCCGATGTTTTTGCTAGATTTGATCCACTTACAAATTTAAACAGATTACAGGAGATTATTAGTAGGCTGGAATAGTACTTGTTCTCTGCTGGGCTTTTTTTTTTTTTTTTTNGTAGGCCGATGTTTTTGCTAGATTTGATCCACTTACAAATTTAAACAGATTACAGGAGATTATTAGTAGGCTGGAATAGTACTTGTTCTCTGCTGCCGTTTTTTTTTTTTTTTTTTTCCTTTTTTCAGACGGAGTCTTGCTCTGTCGCCCAGATCAGAATGCAGTGGCGCAATCTCATCTCATTGCAACCTCTGCCTCCCGGGTTCAAGCAATTCTCTGTCCTCAGCCTCTCGAGTAGCTGGGACTACAGGCACTTGCTACCAGGCCTGGCTAATTGTCGTATTTTTAGTAGAGTCAGGTTTTCACAATGTTGGCAAGGCTGGTCTCTAACTCCTGAACTCCGGTTATCCACCCACCTTAATCTGCCAAAGTGCTGGGATTACAGGCGGGAGCCACAGCGCTCTGCTGGGCTATTTTTAAAGATTCAGTCAAGATCTGGATGTTAGGTCAGACTCCAGGCTTGAAAATTTTTCTTTTATTTGAGCTGGAGTCTCTCTGTTGCCCAGGCTGGAGTGCAGTGGTCCAATCTTGGCCCACTGCAACCTCTGCCTCCTGGGTTCAAGCAATTCTCTGCCTCAGCCTCCTGAGTAGCTGGGATTACAGGTGCCACTACATCCAGCTAATTTTTGTATTTTTAGTAGAGACGGGGTTTCACCATGTTGCCCAGGCCAGTCTCTAACTCCTAACCTCAGGTGATTCTCCCACCTCAGACTCCCAAAGTGCTGGAATTACAGGTGTGAGCCATTGTGCCCAGCCAGTAGTTTAGTATTTTAGACTCTACTAAAAAATAGAAAAAAAAATAGCCAGGCGTTGTGACACATGCCTGTAATCTTAGTTACTATGGAGGATGAGGCACAAGAATTGTTTGAACCCGGGAGGCAGAGGTTGCAATGAGCCAAGATTGCATCACTGCACTACAGCCTTGGTGACAGCGTGAGACTGTGTTTAAAAATGAAATGTTTCCAAGAATTATTAAATTAGGCCAGCCATGGTGGCATGTGTCTCTAGTCCCAGATACTGGAGATGCTGAAGCAGGAAGATCGCTTGAGCCTAAGAGGTCAAGACTGCAATGAACCATGATTGCACCACTGTACACCAGCCTGGATGACGGAGGAGACCCTCTCTCAAAAAAATACAAAAACAAACAAGAAATATTAGATCAAAAAAACAACATGGTGGCTCACGCCTATAATCTCAGCACTTTAGGAGGCTGAGGTGGGAAGATCACTAGACCAGGAGTTCGAGACCAACCTGGGCATGTGAGACCTTGCATCTATGAAAAATAAAAGTTAGCGGGGTATGGTGGCATGTGCCTGTAGTCCCAGCTACTTGGGAGGCTGAGGTGAGAGGAAAACACAATTTAAACCACACACACAACAACCACCACCTATTTTATAGGAATCTAGTTTTGCAAAAACACTGCAACAAAATGACAGCATATGTTGGTATGTATGCACATGTGCCTATATGGAAAAGTTACAGGAAAGAACCTAGGAAACTAGTCATGTCAGAGTATCCTATCTGGTAGGGAAGCAGGCTGAGACAAGAGGGACTTTCAGTTTGAGGCTAGATATTTATGTATCATTTGACTATTTTACAAGAATGTGTCAATATGCTGTTAACATAATGCATGCAAAGTGTTTTAACAACAACAAAAAAACGCAAATCACAATCCCAAAACTGTACATTCTTGCAAAAGTAAAGTCCTTTATTTTGGTGGAGGGGGGACAGGGTATTACTCTGTTCCCCAGGCTGGGGTGCAGTGTCACAAGCACAGCTCACTGCAGTCTCAACCTCCTGGGCTCAAGCAATTCTCCCACCTCAGTCTCCTGAGTAGCTGGAACTACAGGAACATGCCACCAGCCACCACACCCTGCTAAATTTTTTTTGTATTTTGTAGAGACAAGGTCCCACTATGTTGCCCAAGCTGTTCTAGAACTCCTGGGCTCAGGCAATCCTCCTGCCTTGGCCTCCCAAAGTGCTGGAATTACAGGTGTGAGCTACCACACCCAGTCATAAGTGCAAGTTCTTTTACATTTACATAATATACTTCATTTTTCGTAGCCTAATTACCATCATCCTTTTCTTTAACCAGGAAAGACAGAGAGAAAAGACAGCAACTTAAGTTGCCAAAAGCTAAACTAGGACATCAGCAAGCATCTAGAAAGACAGAAGATTATAAAATAATGCTTTTGTTTGTTTGTTTTTGTTTGTTTTGAGACAGAGTTTCACTCTTGTTGCCCAGGTTGGAGTGCAATGGCACGATCTCGGCCCACCACAACCTCCACCTCCCAGGCTCAAGCGATTCTCCTGCCTCGGCCTCCCGAGTAGCTGGGATTACAGGCATGCCCCACCACACCCAGATAATTTTTGTATTTTTAGTAGAGACAGGGTTTCTCCATGTTTTTCAGGCTTGTTTCAAACTCCTGACCTCAGGTGATCTGCCTACCTCGGCCTCCCAAAGTACTGGGATTACAGGCATGAGCCACCGCACCTGGCCAAAATAATGCTTTCATAAACATAAAAGCACTACACCACAAAGCGCATGTTCTTCTACAAAGTAGAAAATACATCGGGTCACTATAGTTGACCCTTGAACAACATGGCTTTGAACTGCAAGGGTCCACTTGTTTGCAGATTATTTTTTTCAATTAAAAGTTATACCGAGCGTGCCTGCCTTTCCTTCCTCACCTTCCACCTCTACTTCTGCCACCTCTACCACCCCTGGGACAGCAAGACCAACCCCTCTTCCTCTTCCTCCTCCTTCACAATGAGCTTACTCAATGTAAAGATGATGAGGACATTCTTTATGATGAGTGGTAAATATATTTTGTCTTCCATAGGATTTCTTAGTTCCATTTTCTTTTCTCTAGCTTACTTTAAGAATATAGCATATAATATATATAATATACAAAACCATATACATTATATGATTTATAGACTGTTTACATTATCAGTAAGGCTTCCTGCCAACAGTAGGCTATTGGCAAATTTTTTGGAGAGTTATATACAGTCCGAGCAAGGTGGTTCATGCCTATAGTCCCAGCACTTTGGGAGGCCAAGGCAGGAGGATCACTTGAGCCTAGGTGTTTAAGACCAGCCTCGGCAAAAAGCCAAAACCCCTTCTCTACAAAAAATACAAAAATTAGGCAGGCATGGTGGCACACACCTATAGTTCCAGATTCTAAAGAGGCTGGGGTGGGAAAATTGCTTGAGCCTGGGGAAGTCAAGTCTCCAGTAAGCAGTGATCATGCCATTGCACTTTAGCCTGAGCAACAGAATGAGACTGTCTCAAAAATAAAAAAAAAAAAAAATAGAAAAGTTATATGCTTATTTTCAACTGCACAGGGGATCAGTGTCCCTAGCCCCCATATTGTTCAAGAGTCAACTCTGTATATTTATTTGAGGGACTGCTGTTACAATCGACATCACCTGTGTCACTTTATGCATTCACCCATTTATATTTACTGAGCACTTGCTATGTGCCAGGCAACCTTATTCTATGAGACTCATTTCAAGTTTTACAGAGTTAAGCAAATGCTAAAGCTAAGAATTTGTATTTTCAGAAATTTCTATTTAATGACATCACAAAAAACCCTTTTCTGTATCATTCAGAATCTAGCGTGTGGGTCTGCGGTATGCTTATTGCCTTTTATTATAACCATCTGCTTGAATATCAGGCTGCCTTGCTGTATTCTGACTTCCTTGAAGAAAAAACATAAACCTTTTTGTGGTGCCCGTGTCACAGCTTGTGTTTGCAATACAGCAGGCATAAGTTTATTCATCCAGTCTACAAATACTTATTTCATACCCACTGTAAGCCAAGCAATGTACTAGGCCCCTGGGATGAGGCATGAATGATAGAGTTTACTTTCTAGTTGAGGGTTGGGGTAGATAGATCACACACATAGAAAAATGCAAGCAAGAGAATTTCAGATTGGAACAAACTATGCAGGAAATAAACTGAATTAGAGATGGGAAGATCGTTACTTGGATAGGGTGGTTGGGGGAACGCTCTTAGATGAGATTTAAGCTGGGTGCAGTGGCTTATGCCTGTAATCCCGGCACTTTGGGAGGCTGAAGCAGGCAGATCACTTGAGGCAAGGAGTTTGAGACCAACCTGGGCAACATGGTGAAACCTTCTCTCTATTAAAAATACAAAAAAAATTAGCCGGGTGTGGTGGTAGGCGCCTGTAGTCCCAGCTACTCGGGAGGCTGAGGCAGAGAATCGCTTGAACCCAAGAGGCAGAGGTTGCAGTGAGCTGAGACCGCACCACTACACTCCAGCCTGGAACAGAGCAAGACTTAGTCTCAAAAATAAATAAGTATAATTAAAAACTAAAAAAAATAAAATAAAAAGAAATTTAAACTGGAAACCAAAAGATGAGAAAGAGGAAGCTTTCTACAAACAGTCTGAGAGAAGTATTCTGAAGAGAGGAAATGGGCATCGAAAAGGGGCTGGAATCAGGAAGAAGTTGGGCTGTTCTAGAAATAGAAACATCAGCGTGGCTGAAACACAGAGTATAAGGAGACATTGGTGAGGTCAACAAAATTTCAATGCAAGCTATTGAAAGGTTTTAAATAAGAGTAATTGAATCCAGTTGATGATTTAAGAAAGAAAAATAAGGCCAGGTATGGTGGCTCACGTCTGTAATCCCAGCACTTTGGGAGGCTGAGGTGGGTGGATCACAAGGTCAGGGGTTCGAGACTAGCCTGGTCAACATAGTGAAACCCCATCTCTACTAAAAATAGAAAAACTAGCTGAGCATGGAGGTGAGTGCCTGTAATCCCATCTACTCAGGAGGCTGAGGCAGGAGAATTGCTTGAACCTGGGAGG